TTACAATATATTTCCCATAAAGCATCATAAACGTAAAGGTGAAAGCTAAGTACAAAAAAAAAAAAAAATTAGACCGCTGAAAGTTTTCGTTAAAAATAACGGGGTAAATAATTTGTTCACGTAAATGTAAATTATTTCACTTTTCTCCTTCCGTAGAACAAATTAGCCTCATGGAATTCGTAAATATATCATTCATCACATGTCAAGAGACGCGAAAGTTTATGACCTGCTTTGTTTTATTTTCAAATTACATCTTTTTGGCACAACAGCTAAGTTAAGTTTGATTCAAAATATTTTAAATAAACATTATAATTTCTGATTTTCTTAAAATAAGTTTTGAAAAAATGATAATTGATATTTAAAAAAATTTCAAAGTCAGATTTCCAGTTTTTTTTTTAAATGGAAAAAAATGGTCAATTTTGCTGACTCAGAAAAACTAGATTTTTAACGAAAATTTCGGACGTGCTCGGAACAAAAAATACCACCAAAATACTTTGACCTTTCCTCTTAATAATAACAAACATTTAGACGATAAAATTTTGTTTTCGTCAAGTTTGACGTCTTTTTCATCATGCTATGCTCTTTTTTTAGCGATCTCGTGGAGGTACCTATACTAGCAGTATGACCGTCTTCGACCGGGTCTTTCATTACTGGGAATTTTTACCGTTCAGTTCTTTTCTTTTGGTGGCATGTCTTAGGCAAGTATGAATTGTACAAATGGAATGCATAGGCAAATACTAAAAGAAAACACTGTAAAGCTACAAGGATCACTAAGCTCGAATAACTTTAGGAAAGATTGGAAAATAAATGTTGAGCAATAAAAAAAAGCAAGCTTACTATTACAATGCAAAAACTGGCAGCAGAATAAAAACTTTCATCGAAATCGAATGAAACCTGGAAACGCATAAACAACATCCAACACACACACACACACACACACACACACACATTTTGAGAATTATAGATAATATTATTGTAATAATTTGAAGTATTTATTTTTATTCAAGTTTTTATGAAATATATATATCCAAGAACAGACAGTAAATAGTAAAACGTTGCTGGACAGGAAGTAGTGGAGAGCCATTGTCGCTAACAATTTGCACTGGAGAATTATCTATCAAACAAAAAAAATCATCTAAATCGGATGAAAACTCTGGAAACGCATAAACAACATCCGATCACGCACACGTTTTGAATATATGTGTGTGTATATATATATATATATATATATATATATATATATATATATATATATATATATTCCTCATGTATAATACACCTTCATCCATAATACGCACCCAAAAAATTGTGCTGAAAGTGTGGGGAAAATGCTTCTACTCACGCATAATACGCGCCTCTTGTTTGGTCATCAAACCCTATAAATTGTACCTCTCCAATTTCATTACAGCCAGCTTTTCCTACACTTATTAAAAAATGATTTTAAACATACAATAATAATAATATTCTAATTTAGTTTTATGATAATTCTTATTTTATTTTACATTTGTAAGTATTTTTAGGTGCATGTGATTGTATTTGACATCAATATGGGGTCACAATCATCGAATGTTAGTGTCAAATTGTCGTATGTTTGTGATGAGTAGTTATTTCGCAACTGAAATCGACCTATGAAACGGTATTTTTTTTAAAAGATTTTTTGTAGCTGTGAATAATACGCACCACTAATTTTGCTTATATTTTTTTTTTTGAAAAAATGCGTATTATACATGGTGAATTACGGTCTATATCAGGGAAGAATACTTTCTATTTTTCTGAAATATTTTATGAACCTCTTGTTTCGTATTGAATATGAAAACGTGATCCTCTCTGACAAACCAATTGAATCAAAATATAATCTATGTATGAAATTATACATTTTTTTTTATTTCGCCGTTGAAATAAGTTTTGCTTTATTTTTAATGAAGTCGTTTTTTTTATTTACTAAACTTGATTTGGTACAAGGCTAAACTATTACAGACAGTGAGGATCGAATCATTACAGAGAACATTTATATAAACGATGCACCATTTTCACCATATTTCAGAATGTCATTGCAACCTATCAAGGTTGTTTGACTAAGAAGAAATGCACTGTGTAATTATCTCGTGTCAAACATTTTGAATCTACAAATCTGTGGTTTCATTTCACTTTGAAACCGTAGAATTCTTTACTTAAGACGAGGAATTTCCCTCTGACTAAATACAGCATTAGTTTTGTTGGTTTACGAGACGACCATTGATTGGAAGGCATGCGCTAATATTTGCTTAGTTTAATCCAAGGCTCAGCGCAGCGATAAGATCCAGTGTGGTTTGAACTTACGACTCTAGCAAAATCCTTCAAGGATTAAGATTGATAATAATTGCTTTACAATGTCTATGGATATTTCCAAACCAAAATAATAGGACACACAATGAGGATCGAAGTCACTACATTAGCTACTTCGTGTGCGAAACAAGATAGTCGGCCCTTCCACTCGAAATTAATGTATCATTTCGCAGATTAAATTAATATATTTTTAAAATACAACCATGATAAAGATTATTGCCTTTCTTTTAAGCTTGTTCTGACGGAACTAAAGAAGGCGACACGGCAATTGTTCATAGTCTGTGAAGTTTGTCACACTAACCAACTGTTTCTATATAAAGCGGTCGTGGTTTAGCAATTCAAGAGACAGTTTGATCTCTATAGACAAGAACAGTGCACATTCGTTACTCGACCTTGGACAATTATATTTGTTTTTAGTCATTTTTTTTAAAATGCTATTTGGTAACTTACTGGCCAGAAATATTAGATTCTAGATACAATCGAGGCTGAGAGGAAACTAATTTTAACCAAAATAAGAGAAAGATAAGCGGCAGCTGAAAAAATAGTTTCGTTTTTCTGATTTGGTAGAAATGTTGATAGTCAAATTAAAAAAAAAAAAAAAACTTTCTTTAAAGTAATCTAATGAATCATTTTCTAAGTCTGAAAAAAATGTCACTATTGTGTTTTCTTTCAAATTTGGCTGAAGCCGCCATTCAGCCGTTTATTGATTTTGATTCAGTCTAGAAAATAAAATAAAAATCAGGGGTGAAGAAATTAATCAATTAAAAGATTAGAAATTAGTGTTGATATCGATGTTGGTTATCTGTACCAATTTTCGTCTTGGTTAAGATGTTGGCAGAGAGTGAATCTTTATTTTTCATGGCGAGAAAACGTTCGGTCACTTTGTCTTTTATATTTGACAATCACCATTGATACCTACTTTTTATAGAATGCGATTGACACAGAGACGTCACCGATTTCGGTTTTCTTTCATTTACAAATCGAAGTCGGCATTCAAGAACAGGAATTATTTTGTTAGAATATAATTTGTGATTTTTGTTTTCATTGAAGAGGAATTTGTTAATGAACTTCCCACCAAGTAGCTACCCACGTTGATAGCTCATTCTTTGTTACTCCCATTAGACTCCTGCGTCTTAGTGGCATTGTCACCTTGCTTGAGATGAATTGATTAAAACAAGAAAATATATCTTGAAATTTTCATAGCATCCAAAGTATTCTTAATAGCTATTTCAAAGACAGTGAAGAACAGGTTTTTACAACTTGTATCATTCATATGAATGATGATCAACAGAACAGGAGCATGACCTACCTGTTGTTCCCCATTTAACTCATCAACGATTTAGATCGTTTTTTCATTTCTTATAACTCGCACCACTCAACCGTAGTTCATACTTTTTCGAATTCGTTCAATGATTTCGAGAATCGTATGGATATTAAAAACAACAGCGATAAAATAAACAAAACAATCCTTTATCCCTGCCTCCCATGAGAATGTCTGACGCTCAACTCCACGAGAGCACCTCTTTGCAACTGCTCGATCTCACATTGTCCGCTGACCTGAGATGGAACGAATACATTGAGTCAATAGCTTCGTCCACCGCTAGGAAATTTGGCTCCCTATGCCGGGCCAGGAAATTTTTCTCGCCGGAGTCGATCGATAAAATCTACAAATCAACCATTTGCCCTTGCATTGAGTATTGCTGCCATATATGGTCTGGAGCCCCTTCTATTTATCTCAAGGTCCTTGATAAAATCCAGAAAGGGATATGCAATGTAATTGGCCCTGATCTGGCATCTCGTCTGCAGCTGCTCTCTCAAAAACGTGCCGTTGTCTCCCTCTGTCTTTTTTACAAATACTTTCACGATAACTGCTCCGATGATCTGCTTTCGCTGGTTCCCAGACTTCATGAATTTAAGCGATCTACTAGGCTGGCATCTCGCTCTCACCCTTTCACTGTCGAAACAATTAAATGTAGTCGTCTCTTCTACTCCAATAGCTTCATGTCTCTCACTTCTCGCCTGTGGAACTCCCTTCCCTTTTCTTGTTTCCCTGATACCTATTATCTCCAATATTCAAATGTAATGTTAGTCGACGTCTCCAGATACCCTGATCTATACCCTATCCTTTTCTTCATCCTTTCCTCTATCACTTCTATTTGCTCTCGCTCCAACTCTCTGTAACCCCTTGCGTGCTAGTGGCTTCCCGCCTTGCTTGGGTTTGAATGCTTAAAAAAATAAATAAATAAAAAAATACAAATAGTACGAAGCTGAATGAAGTCCATCCAACACCAGAAATTAAAAATTAAGATTAACTGCCCCTGTATGTTCAGCGTTTCTCATGATGTTTAATTATAGCCGACATTTCGTTCCCTCTCGCAGTACATATTTGATTTTTTAGTTGGCGACATATCAACACCTCTATGGGTTATTTAATGCCGAAATCTAAATAATTTGTACACAATTTTAGTCTTTTGGTGGTGGTGGGGGGGAACAATAATAGTTTTATTCATACAAGTATTACTATTTAAACCATAGCTGGGGAAGAAAGGAGAATTCATACATTTCCCAAGGATATTTGCTCGTAAGTGAATATAACGAACCCAACAGGAATTGGAACTCTGCTCTCGTATTAATAATTCTGAGCCATTATCCATTTCACCACCCGCACATTCATGCTTACAGCACCTGGTATTCCCAAGCGGTCACCCATCTAGGTACTGACCTGGCTCGATGTTGCTTAACTTAGGTGATCGTATGTTTCAAAGTGATCTGGCCGTAAGCCCAAATATTTGAGTCCATCAATAGAAATATTATTTAGTCTGAAGAAGCCCTTTCGAAGGTCGAAACCTGTAATGTAGGATTTATTTTCAATTGTCCAGTATAGTCTGTGTATTTTACTTCATCCATAATTTAACATAAAACATGCATATTAAAACATAAGGTGGGGAGTTAAAATAAAATCAATGAACTATTTAAATTAATTAAATTATCTAAATTTTAAACTAAAATAAAATGAAATATAAATGAGTATATGTATTTTTAGTGCGCCCACCTCGCTACATAATCTGACACTAGGTGGTTACATAATTTAAACTATTTACATCTTTCGTACTGTTGTCCTTATCTTTATTGTCATATTCACCACGTTTCGGCCGATGTACGCTCCGGTCTTCTCCAGGTGACATACGTTGGAATTTCGAACCGACCCTTTATTTAGTCAACTAGGGTAGATTGTTCTATTTCCACGTGCCATGCCTTTTCTGGATATCTCAGATTCAGTTATTCCCCTTTAGTAAATCAACTCTTCAAGTTTTTGTGCATCTCTGCTGTGACCAGGTATTGAACTCACAACACTTTGGGTCGAGTAATTAGATTACTTCAAACAAAGCTTTTGCCTTTGGGTACACATGACCCCAAAAGTTGTGAATTCAATACCTTTGCCACAGCAGAGGTGAACAAAATCTTGGAGAGTTTGGTTACTAAAAGGGAATAACTGAAAATGAGATATCCGGAAAAGGTATGGAACCTGGAGCCTGAACCATCTACCCCAGTGGACTAATTAAAGGGTTCAGTTCGAAATTCCAACCTGAAGAAGGCCGGAGCGTACAACAGCCGAAACGTCGGGAATATGACAAAGATGGGGACAACAGTACGAACAATGTAAATTATGTAAATATTTTACAAGCTATTTGAACAATATTCTCATAATTGTTGTCAGGAAAACTTGTTATGAAATGCTTATACACATATAATTACAGTTTTTATATTCGAATACAATTCGTGTTTGGATCACGTAGAACGGTAAAAATAAGCGCATTTCATATACTAATAATCACTAGTATTTAATAGTGGAGCTTGCAACTAATAGGTTCACAGTTATCTACTAAGCAACCGTCGCTGGGATTTATTTCCTCTTGTAATGCTTTCAAATAAAATGGCCCGAACTTTGTACTGAGAGGTGTCAAATGTAGTTAGTCAGTAGATGGGAAGAAATCAGAATAGTTCGAAAACGCCGTGTCAGTTATTGACAGCACCAGCGAATGATGGTCATCATTACAAGAGCGAATGTTTCAATAGCGATATTACTCGCGTACCGGAGTCTTGGAGGATGAATGTCAAGAAATCTGACAGAATGACATGCTGAAAACTTATTCCCAAGAAGCTTACCATTTCGATCGTTGCAGGAACCGCTCATCACCCGTTTGAATTCAAATCGCAAAGAGTTTACTCGAGCTAAAAGGCTCTGTATTAACCTCCCTGTCTAGAAATTGTAAGCGCGCGAAGATGTTATGAATATGTGAGTGCCTCTTCATGTTCACAAGGGCGTGGCTGTAAATTTAGAAATAGATTTCATTGTGTGAATTCGAATTGTGTCTATCAAGAGAAATAGATACATATAAACACATAAGCGTAAGGCTATGGCGACGAGTGCCGACTTGGAAAACAGTTCTCTACTTTTGCTGTTACATTGTATGCATTAATGAGCTGTCGAAGGCTCAATCTTTCTTCATTAAGACTTCTCAATTTAGGCCGGTAGCCATTAATTTCACTGTTTAGTAAAAAAACAGCTGTAACAACTCAAACACGTTTAAAGTATTCCTGTTGTTTACGTTTCAGGTACGAAACTAAAGTTAGCAGATATAAATTCGTACAAGTTTTCACGAAGAAAAAAAAACAGTCTTGTCTGACAAGGTATTCGGATTTTGCCCTGTCAATCAGATTCCGTGACCGAAATGGTTTCCCTGAAGAAAAAAAAATGGTTCGATTCCTGTCTGAGGGTTTTTTTCTTCAGTAGAACCTCTAAGATTAAGCTCCTTGTTATTAATTACAATGTTTAATAAAATAAAAAGTGGGGGTAACAAATCAAACACGTTTACTCAGTAGAAATAATGTTTATCGTAATTACACACACACATATATATATATATATATATATATATATATATATATATATTTGTGTGTGTTAGAAAGACGGAGAGAGAAATGGAAAGACGGTGACAAAGAGAGAAAGAGACAGAGAGTTTATGCGCATATATCCATATATAAGGCGATTCATTCATTTAAGAATACATCTTTAACAGAACATCGCCAACTTTTCACTACTATATCGTTATGGCCATGACAAATGTCCGGACGAATTACATTCCTTAGTGCCACCAACTTGGACCTTCACAGCCAGGACTAACCACGCCGTGTTCACTCAGAGAACTTCCTCCCCGGAACTGTTACTTTGTAGAACAACCTCTTGAGAGAACGCTTCCCTGACAACTACAATATTATTTACACTATTTACATTCGGATTATCGTTCGCCTCATTCGTGCTGTTATCACAGATTTCCAGCCGTTGTTCCCTCCGGCCTTCATCTAATGTACGTCTATCTGGGTAACTTACAGGGAATTCTGAACTGAACCCTTTATTTAATCTACGGAAGTAGACTGTTCTCGCCCCCTGTCCATGTCTAGAGATATCTCTTTTGGTTCGTATTTTTACTACTCAGTTATTGCTCGCAGTTTCCCCTGAGTCTCGGCACAGTGATTGAACCTACAATTATAGGTCACTAAATTCACGATTTAATCCACTATGCTATTGGCCCGTACAGCAATTCTATATGGTGAACTTGGAGCCGTAAACCTACCTGCTTGTGATTAGAGCTGCCAGAGATTCGCTGTTATTTTTCTGTCTTTATTATACTAGGCTTTCATTCTATGCTAGTCCTATTAAGGACGTCCTCATAGCCTAGTACATTTGCTGATGGTTTCAGACGTCTAACTCTCCAGTGTTCTTCTTTGTCCACTATTTTCACTTCACCTGACGAAGGCTGTAAGTCACAACGACCTGCCTTAACCAGGTATTGAACTGACACTCTTTCAGTCGTAATTGTATTAGCGAGAAAAGCTAGTCATCAAACCACATCGAAGTGTTCACTAGAAATATTTTATAGGATAATATGAACTTTCAAATTCATGGAAAATAGGCTTAATATTTCTGGGAGCAATACAGAAATGTCGGAAGCGGAAATTTTTTTTTAAACGTTTTACTGTCGATATTGTATAGCCATTTATAAATATATCTTGCAGTAGAAAAAAAGAAAATGTTTCTAATTTTGTCGTAGTAATGTCTTACACGAGTTTCTTTCTGCGTAGATTATTTAAATATCGGAATCGGGAGTCGGAACACGTTCGAGCGATGTTTTTGAATGACATGCTAAGTATCAAGAAGAAAAAAAAAGAGCGGGAGATTTTTTTTAATGGCTTAAATTCGGCCTGGCATCATTTCTATGAAGGAATAAAGCTTATCCCTTTGAATATCTTTGAAAGGGCTTAGACAGTGTCAAAGTTGGCAAGCTTGTAAAAAAAAAAAACTATTCGTCAACAATTGTAGCATGTCTGGGACGAGATATTCTTCCAAGATATCTGGCACTAGAATTCAAAATTAATGCTTTTCTCAAGAGAATTAATATCCAGAGTCAACCTAGTTCAGAATTTGAACTGATTGCAGCAAAACTTATAAACGCTCTTAACCATTACATCACCCAGTGATAACGATGTCATGAGGAGATCAATGGAGTTGGTCATTGCCTTATTTCTGTGTCTTTTCGATGTCAGAAAGAATAAAGTACGAATAAAGATTGCTCTTTAAAAAAAGGACCAATGGAAAAGAAGATGACGTAAAAGATCCAATAGTATTTGACTTTGATTGAAAATATAAACAGTTCTGCCCATTTTGAATATCTTGGTAATAAGTTGTGCAAACTTAATGTAAATTAGCAACCATCCTGGGAACGCGAGTATACTTTCTGCCATGGGGTAACTCGGAACTGAGACGCTAGTAAGTAAGCATATATAATGCATGACCATCCTATACTTATATTTTGTTTTCCATTTTTTGTAAAATATCGCATCACTCAGATATTTCAGCATCTACTCTACTTCTACAGCAATGATTCCCAATGTGGGGCATATACTCCACCGGTAGGACATGGTAATATTTTGGTGGGGCATGCGTAGGATATACCCTCTTCGGCTTACTATACCAACAGAATAAGGGGGCAATTCGAGAATGAGTAACAGTGAATTGTTTTCTAGTGAGTATCAGTGAGAGTGTTAATGTGTGTTAATACATACGATGTATATACTGTGTGCATACATAAAAATATTTTGTTTGTATGTACGTACATGTGTAACAGGAATACATGTAAGAATTAAATCTTACAGGAAGTACCAGAATTTTAAAAATACCAAAGTGGGACATGGCCAAAATCGGTTGGAAACCACTGTGTTTAGATTTTCTCATAATTAAAATAGTCATTAGAAGAGAAACGGTTTCAAACCGGCGACGAGATTAATGAGATCGAAGCAGCTAATAGCAACTTTAAAAGCGAACTTTGAAGACAGTTGTATAAAATGGGACCTGCGCCTGGATAAATGTGTGTGTATGCAAGATGACCACTTTGAAGAGGACTAAGGCAAAAATATCCTCAGTAATTTTTTTTTGTTGTTAATATTACCTGGTTGGATCCTTTCAGAAGAAATCTCATAAATGGATCCATCTCGTTCGACAGCTAGCTATTAACGCTGAATTTCAAAGCAAATTGTCCTAGTCGAGCGGTAACTATTTCGAGAAAGAAGGATGCTTGAAATAAAATTCGTCCGGGCGAGAAAGGAGATTACAATTACATTTAAGTGAAAGTCACATTAAAACTAACTGAAAGATTCGGGAATTTCGTTGGATAAAAGTTGATTAAAGCCGGAAAATG